AAATCTAAGAGCATTCCTGGGTTTTTGCAAGAATTTTCATTGTGTTTTGCAATGTTGATTTAAAAAAAATTAAGACGAGGCTAAAATTTATTTACAAATTTTCTTTATTTAATGACAAATAACTGTGACACAGTAAGAGCTACAATAGTGGTTTCACTTAAGAAATTATTTTTAAGATCTTACCTTTACAGAGGTACCAAGAGTTAGCATTTAACCTTATAACTGTGGAGCTAATCTTGATTTGTTTTGCTGTGTATTTTCGGGTGGAAATTACCTCTAAAACCCCTTAGGGCTCAACAGGTTAACATGAAGACTTCCTTGTAATATTGCATCCGTCAGACTTTTATGAAAAACGAGATCTTGACTTTCTGTTTTCAACCAAAGCAACTTCTTGTGATTTGTTTTATTGTGGTAGGTCACAGTGACGTAGTGATGGGTATGGTCTCGCTAAACAAGGATGATCTGCATGAGCGACTAAGGTTTCTGCAGAACTGTGAGTAAAAGTGATTCAGATGTTTGCTGACACCAGTTTAAATGTTTCCTTTCTGTTTCTGTAATGCTCAACCTACCTGTCCTTTTGTTTTGTTTTGTTTTCTTAACTGTCCTACATTCACCCAGTAAACCATCAATACTTGCTCCACAGGCCATAAAAGGGTTGTGACACGAGACATTATCTGATGAATATTTACTTCACCTGTAACAAGACTGAAAGTACTGTAGGCTGTTTAGTTTTTATACATTCAAAAATATGCAGTGTCACACACAAACAATGCCATGTTATTTACACTGCAAAGCATTCTGGGTAAATGATGACGCTTTCTGGTGCTCCGCTGCGAGCTCTGTCCAGCTTGAATATTAATTTTGGACAATGTTTTACGATCAGCCCTTTGAAACGAAACCAGAGCGTGTTGACGGAGAGGAGAATGTAGAAATGACTCAGCTGCTCCTGAACAGAGCTGCTTCATGGAAGGAGGACGTAGCTTCAGCCTTTTAGCTTTCACGTTAGCTCCCGAGCTAATATTCATATCACTAAATACAGTATGATCTTAGCTCTCAAGCTAATAATATTAGCTTGGGAGCTAACACCTTTTAGAGTAATATTAATATGGTGTTAGCTTCAGAGCTAAAAAGTAAGGCACTAGCTTCAGAGCTAAAAAGTAAGGCACTAGCTTCAGAGCTAAAAAGTAAGGCATTAGCTTC